TTACACAGAGAAACCCTATCTCAAAAAACAAACAAACAAAAAAGACAGGATCTCAGTGTGTAGCCCTGGCTGGCCTAGACCTCTTTAGACCAGGATGGCCTCAAAATCACAGATATCCTTCTGCCTCTGCCTTCCCAATGCTGGAATTAATGGCATACAACCCCATGCCCAGTCACAAAACTGCCTTAAAAAAATAAAAGAGCATTGTTAACTTTTGGCCATGGGACAGTCCTTGTATATTCATTACAGGTGTTGTTCTCACTCCCCTGAACTCGCACGTTCATCTGATGTTTTAGTGCCTCTAGGTTGTTAGTAGTGATGTGCCAAGTGCTGTAAAGTCATCAGTCCCCACTTAATACTCATTTAAATTATGCCACACCTTAGGGTCAGTTCTAAGCTCAGTGCTTATAGTTTACTGAGAGATAAACTGGAGTAAAGTTCTGCGGGGAGAGCAGGAGAGAATGTGTCTGTTCTGGTGATAGTCAGGGAGCAAGGCTGTGGACAGGCCCTGCTGATCTAGAGGAGAGATGAGAGTCGGGGTCCTAGGGCCGTGGTGGGCTGGGTGCTCGCTGCAAGGGCCCGAGAAGTCTTTCCCGTTGCCTTCTCTTTCCGGTCCTTTATGAAGGGCACTAAGCACGTTGGTTGTGCAGTTTGAGAATTTCAACTAAGCGGGAGCTGCTCTTTTGCAGGGCATTGCCTTTGCCTAAGAATGGTCCCAGGAGCGGCAGCAGAGTTGTGATCCTTGTTCTGTTACCAGTTGCTTATATTAAAATCCTTTTTTTCTCTTCTACTTGGTTTAGGCTTAGGAGAGGGAAGTCTTGTGTGTGGTCTAGAAGCTGTGCATGCAATTAGTGGGAGAGCCCTGGGTTCCATCTGCTAAGATAGAAACGATCAAAACAAACAAATAAAAACAAACAGCTGGGCATGGTTTTATGCCTGTAAATCTAGGGCTAGGGAGGCGGAGGCAGGAGGATCTCCTCAAGTTTGTGGCCAGTGGAGCCTACATAGTGAGATCTGTCTGAGAAAGTGAAATAACAAACAAAGGCAAATCTGGCTAGAGGCCAAGACCCAGGCCAAAGCCCCAAGGGCTGCAGGGGAAACCCCAACCCTGGAGCTCCTCCTCTTGGTGGAAACCTTTCTTTTTAGCGTGTGCATTTGTTCCTGGGGCCACATTAACCCCTTGTGACTCCGGAGCAGGTGTCAGTGTCTTGTTAGTGACAGACATCTGTGCCAGGTGTCCCCACAGTCCTGCCGCCTCCGCTGTGACAGCCCCCATATCTGTGCCAGGTGTCCCCACAGTCCTGCCGTCTCTGCTGTGACCGCCCCCAGCCTGATCTGGCTCCGGCTGTGCACAGCACCGCTGTCCCTCCTTCACCCTGCTCGCAGCTCTTGTGAAGGCAGCGAACAAAACAACACCAGAGTCCTGGAAACTCTTTCCTTTACGTGTGCATGCACTTGTACAAGTATACACACTCACAAGTGCCAGAAGATGACATTTTTAACTTTAATAAAACTAGAGGGGCTAGAGGTTTTTCTCCTTTAGCCTCATCGTTATACACATAGTAAACTGAGGCACTAACTTAAACGACAAATTACAGAGTTCATGAAAATCACCTGCTCGATGCCACATCCATAAAGTTAGAAAAACTCTCTCAAAGCCCATGTGTGTGTTTGTACGTGAGTGGCTGTGCATGCATGCATATGTGTGTGCTGGTGCATGTGTGTGGTGGTGAGAGGATAGCCTCAGATGTCATTCCTTAGGAACCTTCTTCCTTTTGTTTTGAGAGGGGCTTTCATTGACGTAAAACTCTGTGAAGCAGCTAGCCAGCTTCCAGAGAGCCTCCTGACTATCTTCGAGCCTCACCTTCCCATCCATGAGATCACACATGAGCATCATTCCCAACCTTTTCTCTGTAGATTTTTAAGGGTCTTGTTATGTAGAGGCTGGTCTCAAACTCTAGACACTCGTGCCTCTGCTCCAAGTGCTAAAATTACAGCAGGCACCACCATCATGGCTTCAGAGATCTTGATTTTTTTCTATAAAAGAGGATGAATCCGGCCAGGCAGTGGTGGCGCACACCTTTAATCCCAGCACTCAGGAGGCAGAGGCCTGCAGATCTCTGTTAGTTTGAGGCCTGCCCGGTCTACAGAGTGAATTCCAGGAGAGACTTACGTAGAAAAACTCTGTCTCGAAAACAAACAAACAAACAAACAAACAAACAAACAAACAGGATAAGTCCAGGATTGGGTGAGATCTTTAAGATCAGCCCACGTCCCTGTCTTCTTTTATAAAAATACTCTCCTCATTTTCTGTGTGTGGGTGTTTTATTTGTGTTCATGTCCATGTACCTCCTGGATGTCTGATGCGTGTGGAGACCAGAAGAGGGCATCATATCCCTTGGAACTGATTTGCAGATGGTTGTGAGCTGCCGTGTGGGTGCAAGAATCAAACTTCTGAAAGTGCTGTTAACCACTGAGCTGTCTCTCCAGCCCCTCTCCCGTCTTCTAAATCCACCCCCCCACTTTTTAAGATTTTTCAAGACAGGGTTTCTCTGGGTAGCCCTGGCTGTCCTAGAACCTGCTCTGTAGACCAGGCTGGCCTTGAACTCAGAGGTTTGCCTACCTCTGCCTCCCAAGTCTAAATTACCTTTTTGCTGTTTGTTTTTAAAGGTTTTGTCAGTTCCTTGCATTTATTCATTGATTGGTTTATTTGTGTATGTGTGTGCCTGAGTGTATGTGTATGGGTGTTGACTCGCCATGGCATGTGTGAAGGTTAGACAAGAGTCAGCTATTTTATTTATTTTTTATCCTGTCCTTCCGCTGTGTCGGTTCTGAAAACTGAACTTAGGTTGTTAGGTCAGGCTTGGCAGCAAGACCTTTCCCCTCTGGGCCATCTCACTGGTCCTCGGATGCTTCCGAATATTAGAATTTCTTTAGCAAGCCTCTGTGTGTGCGAGACAGAGGTCAAGAGACAGACAGACAGACTGGAGGAATGAGTAGAACAAGTTCAGCAGTAACAGGTCATAAATGATGGGCATTTGGTGTGGTTGTGTCTGAGGGAACGTCACTGAGGAACTGTGGAGAGGCCGGAGGAAGGCCTTGGTAACTCCCATCTTCGTTCCTTCAGTGTTGGTTTCCCATAGAGTGGGGAAGCGCCCTCTACACGCCCCCACCAACCACAGAGCCTGCAAAGAGCCGCCTTGCATGCCTGTAATTCATGTGCAGTAAGAGAAACATGGCTTTCTCCTGCCTTTGCTTCATGCACCCTTTCCTTTAGAATATTCGTCTTCAAGTTGATATGTGAAGGGTGATGTCTGTGATGAAGTTATGCCTAGATGCTCTAACTTTTTAGCATCTGGCCTTCGAAGACGGCAGGTGGAATAAAAAAAAATCTTAATCTCTGAGACTGATGTCTCTAGCAGGAAGTGGAAGAAGGTGGTAACAACACAGTATGGTTTTAGGAGAGAGTGACATGTGGGCTGTTGCTTTCATGTGTTTTAGTCATGATATTTTATATTCTGAGTAAAGCTGACGTTGCTAGCAAGCTTTGTAAATTGACAAAACAGGTAGGTCACTGTGATGTTTAGAGATGGGAAGTGGTGGGAATGTGATGGATTGTGGGTGAATGGGTGTGAAGATGGTTGAAGCATAGGACGAAGCGAGGTCAGTGACGTCTTACAGAGATATCAACACAGACGTATTACAGACATGCTGTACTTCAGCAGGCTCTGCTGCTTCATTCCGATGATGTATAGTCTGTTATATGTACACTGCCCTCAATGAAGTTTTTGTATGTGTATAGTGTGCATGTATGCACCCCTGTCAAGGCCAGAGTGAACTCTGAGTGTCTTCTAAGTCTCTGTCTACCTCCTTTCCTGAGACAGGTTTTCTCTGTGTAGCCCTGGCTATCTTGGAACTCACTCTGTAGACCAGGCTGGCCTGGAACTCACAGAGATCCTTCTGCTTCTGCCTCCCAAGTGCTGGGATTAAAGGTGTTCTTTTCCACCTCATTTTTAGAATCAGTGTATCTTGCCTGACTTAGAGTTGGCCGTTTTGGCTAGACTGGCCACAGGCATCCTCCTGTCTTCTGCCTTTGGCTGGCATTGTATGTGGCTGTCATATGAGGGCTAGTGATCAGAACTCAGGTCTGCTTGTACAGCAAGCACGTTACCAGCAGGGACAACTTTCTAGTCCACAAAGTTTAACAAAATAATATAATGTAAATTGTGTAATTAACTTTCATGTTAATCAGTTTTAATTTAAAATTTGCTTTTTGTTGTGATCAATAAAATAATCCTACATGATCTACTATTTCTTTAACCTCAGTAAGTGTTTATTGAGAGCTTACTTTGCCCCATATTTTCTTAAAATTTGGTCCGTATCTCTTGAATGAGTTTGTCATAGTTCAGAACTCTAATGGTGTTAGATGCCTTGCATATTTCCCTTGAGTCTTGTTAGGAATAGTGAATGGTTTCTCATTTCTTGTGTGAATTCTTTACTAGTTTTAACAGCTGTTATGAGTTTCTAGCTGTGTCGAGGAATAAGTACATTGACTCTTGTTACTGGCTTTTTTGCGTGTCTGTCGGTCTGTTAATGTATCTTATTTCCAGTGCATTTCAAGAACTTTTCTGTACTGCTGGATCGGTGGGATGGCTCACTGGATAGAGACCGCTGTGTCAATCCCTGGGACTCACGTGGTAGAAGGGAGAGAACTGCCTCATGCCAATTGCCCTCTGTCTCTCTTCCTCTCTCCTCCTCTCTCCCTCCTCCTCCCCCTTTCCCCCTCTCCCTCACTCAGTCATAAAATGTACTAAAACAAAGTAAAAACCAAGAACTGTACCGTCAGTCTGTGTTCGGGGCCACAGTTAGACTGCTGAGAGTCACTACAGGCATCAGGTGTAGCGCCGTTACTGACCTTGCGTGATGCGCGGTGATAAATCATGATCGCTTGGTGACCCTCCTGGGGTCGTCTGACAGGAATCTTCATTGCCAAGCAGCATGAAGGCACGTGTGTTATGTTGCCTTTGCTCGTGGCCTTGCATCGTGACACATGGCCTGTCCTGTCCTTCCTCTCCCGTGCAGGAGTTGCCCACCGGAGCCAGAGCAGTGAAGGGGTCAGCTCTCTCAGCAGCTCGCCGTCCAACAGCCTGGAGACGCAGTCTCAGTCCCTCTCCCGTTCCCAGAGCATGGACATCGATGGTGTCTCCTGTGAGAAAAGGTAAACCTGGTGCCACCTGTTATCACTGCTGTACGTACATGAAGGGAAGTCTCCACACTTTAACCTTTAGTCTAGGAGTCTGAAATGACAACCCAGAGACCCATGTCCTTATCAAACTGAAGCCACATTTTATTCTTAAATTGAAAGGTTTTTCTGTTCTGAATGAAATGTTCTTTATGTAGTTGTCTGTATGAAGTGTCTTTTATGAGTTGGAGAGATGGCTCAGCAGTTACAAGCAGGTGCCACCTTTCCACAGAACTTGCATTCAATTTCCAGATGTCTTTTATGAGATGTAAGGTATGGGTGGTTAAACAAAATCACCTCATAATAAGCATACGGTATATGTGAATAAATCTCAGTGTGTAAACGGCAGTACCAGTGTGTGAGACAGTGGTGAGACACAGAACGGGCACAGCGGGTAGCAGGGAGGGTGGTGTTAGAACAGGTGCCCTCAGATTTGGTTTCTGTGGTCCTGCCATGTGGCGCCAGAGTTGAGCTGTCTTTCCGTATCTTATGCCCTGGTGCTTCCTTAATGGACCTTGGGGCCACTGCTGAGTAAAATA